CACAGATGAGTATATATATATATATATATATATATTGTCGTGAAGTCTCAAGAGTAGAATTTTAACTTAGAGTTAAAGCTAATAAAAAGAGTTCTGAAAATTCTTTAGTACGATATTAAAACCATTTTTTAAATTTTCTTAGCACCGTATGAAAGCAGATCAACACGGTAGGAATATGATGAAAGCGCATGGCATAGACACACGAGCTAAGCTGACGAGTGATTCGGTAAAGACTAATTACCGGTCACGCAAAGACAAAATGCAATACAATGCATCGGGGGACAAAGGAAGTATTATCAATGTTCTGCTTCTAATTAATAATGGAATGGTAATATCACCACCACAAGGAAAGCGTTTCTTAAAGAGTGTAAATCATTCAAACTACGGGGTTATTTCACTATTTTAGACGTCATTGAAATTTTAAATGGACGCCAATTTCATATCCAATTATAAAAATTTAAATTGTTTTACGGTAGATTGGAATAGCGTCGTTTTCTTAGATAAAATGTTTTTGATAAAATAATTTTTCAATTTATTCCCCGCTAGCATTGCACTTCCGCTGCATTTTAGTGTAAAAAGAATGTTATTGAAAAAAAGATGGGTAGTGAATTAGAAGTTAAGCTAAAGTTAATACCATTATAAGTAAGTTAATAATTGTATAATAGTAATAATAAGTTAATGACTTCCTATGCAACTGCCTTTGTTTTTTTTAAAAAAGAAATATTGCGTATGCATATTCTCAGATCAAGATATTACTATGCATGTTATTGATATACTTTACGAAACACGAATCAGGGATGCCAACTGCTCCACTTTCGGCAAAAGTTTTAATAAATTGGCAGTGAATTAAACATTCGAAACTTGTAGAATAAGGATAACTACGCCTACTAAAAAGTTTTGCCACGAAATAAGTGTTAACTGACATATTTAAATCAGAGTACATAACCAAAAAGAGTTATTTTCTCCTTCATTTGATTTGACAATAATTAACACGGTCACCGGCACTGAGTTTGTTCGTAGCGCCACGGGGTCACCGATGACTGGCGAAGCCAAGATTATTAAAAACACATAATTCGAGTAAATTTTTAATATTATTATTATCATTACTAAAATGGTTTGAAGAAATTAATGCAATATAGAACACACGAAAATAGTTTCATTTATGTACACAGAGATGCCAACTTGCTCCGGACAGCGAATAAATATTTTCTAGTGGTAGTTTATTAATTATGATTCTTGGTTTAGTAAATTCAATTTAGTAGATTTTTATCCATCACTATCTCTAAACGATTCGTAGGCTTATATAGTTCACCACTTTTTTCAGATATGTCATGCCAAACCTTTTAAAAAACTAGCAAAATTTGTCTAATATTTGCAAACTTAGTTTGTAGCTATTTACCGGGGTGGCCAGACGGGCAAGCCATGCAAAATTAGCGCGGCATTCAACGTGTTAAGAGAAAAATGGAGGGGGAGGGAGGAATAATATTTATAATTGTAAATTGCAATATCTGAAGAAAAATAGAAATAATTTGAAACTTTTCTTTCATCAAAATTAATCAAGGAAAAAATATCGCAAGTGACGTATTTCAATATATTAAAGTATAAAAAACATTAACTTTTATGGACAAAAAATATTCATCCCCTACTGCGAAATCTTAATCATAATTATCGTACGATTAGATAGAATTTTGATTTTAATGTAATTGTAAGAGTTTATTCTTTCGATAGATTCAAATTATATTCTTAAAAAATAATTAAAATGGGAAAAATTTAATATTTAGATTTAAAATTAATTATTATTTCAAGAAGAAACGATGCAGGTTTCCTCAAAATGCTTTAATAAAATTATTAATTTCCCCATTGAGCTTTTAATAAATACCCATCCTATTAAAGAAACCCAAGTTTTCTTTTTTTTTATTTCTGCTGCACTTGCATATATTCGTAATTTCTACTTTTAAATGTATCATTATTCAAATAATATATTTGCTTCGAAAATGATTTAGATTTCTATATTTGTATTATAAAGATTGCATCAATAAATGTACAAAAATATTTTTACTTGCCTAAAAATATTAAGGGTTGATTTTTATTTTAGGAATAACATATAGTTTGTAGATTGAAACTATATCAATACGAAATTTCTCAGCTCATTAACCCTTTTGCTACGAGCGACGTATTTAGCCGGCATCCACACGATGCCCTGTCTGTACGAGCACCGTATTTAGACGTCATCCTCGCAAAGCCCTATGTGTAAAAGAATTGTATTTGGCCAGGGTCCCCACGATTTCTAGTGTGTATGAGCGCCGTATTTAGCCAGTATCCACGTGATGTCCTATGTGTACGAGCGTCGTAATAGCCGGCATCCACGTGACGTCCTAGGTATACGAGCATCGTATTTAGCAGACATTCCCGTGATACTACTTGGTAACCATCAATACCCCTAAAAGAATATCGTCAAAGCACTTAATACTTTTTGTATGCTGATTACATTTGTTGCCGGCTCTAGAATGCAAAGTGCAGAAATTTGTCTAGCTTGTTTTAAAATTTTGCATGCTAAATATAATTGCTAAGATTTTTCTTACTATCTAATTTATTTTATAGACGCCCGGTGGCTGAGCGGTAGCGCTTCGCTCTGTCGTGCCACAGGTTCGATCCTCGGGCAAGGTTGACTCAGCCCTTCATCCTTTCAGTGGGTTGATAAATGAGTACCAACCGTGCTTGGGAACTAAACACTGGGGGTTCTCCGCGTTCGGCTGACCACCTGACCGGAACATCAGCTCCTGAACCCCTGAGCCCAAGGTCAAGAAAACTGAGATGGGCACAGTAGGCCTTGGCCCTCTATGGGCTGTCGCGCCACTGAGTTTAGAGTTTAAAAAGAAATATTTTATAACCGTCGTTGAACAGCTGACCCAATTTTTGGGAGGGTTAACGACTACTAATGTTCAACTCAGCAGCCTTGTAATTTTACCTAATCCAGAAGACAAGGGAACTCCTATATCAAGTATTTGGGGAAATTTATCTTCGTAAATGACTTTTTTTATGGAACTAATTCGCTTTGTGTGACATGGAGAGGAAAACCACGTAAACCTCCCATAGTAAGCCTGGCGGCAATGGGACTCTAACCCATGATCCGTCTACCACTAGAGATATATTACGTCAGCACTGTGGTCGGTGCAAGCCGGATGTGCAATTCGTATCGACCAGTCACAGCTGGGATTTGAAACTGGTTTACCTCATTGGAAGGCGAACGCTTTAGCTCTTGAGCCATGACGGCTCTATTTATAATAGTTCGAAAATCTGAGAATATATTTGTCATGTAAATCTTAGCATCAGCTTACTGACATGCAATGAGCGCTCTGCTATGTATGGTGCACCGTTCAGTGACGTCACTGCAGTAGAGTGGACAGCCATAACAAAAGGTTTACGGATCCAATAACTTCTTAAAAAGTTAAAAGACTAGTGAATTAATTATTTTATTTAAGAAATACATTTTATCAAACTTTGTGAATATATTATTATCCTCTTCGTTACTTATACATTTTGAAAAAGGATGGTCTGGAAATTGTGTTAAACTGGTTGTTAAATTTTGTAAAATATGCATACTTCAAAGTACTCACGTCTATTAAAATTTTATCATTTCGTTTCTCGTGGTGCAAAAATTCGAAACTGATTTAATAAAACTAAATTGAAAATTAAGTTTTTTTTTATGAAATTTTGAGCCGTATTAAAAATAGTTTTTCATTACAACTTAATTTTTGCAGGTTGCGAGCACCCTCGATTTGTAGACAGGTGACCTTGAGTTTAATTTTAAAGAGGTTAAATTAATAAAATAAAAATTTAATCCTTGATCTTAAATTAGTTTCAGAAATATTTTTAGACTTAAGTGGCAACCATTATTAAAAATATTTCAATTTAATATAAACAAAGCTTTTTCATAAAAGTACTTTTTACTTTATTATAAAATGTTGCGTTTTTGCAACAATAAACGGTAATGCGATAACAAAAGTTTTCAGAGTGAATTTAACAGTTGTTAAACTAACATAAAGAATTTCTATATCATCTTGGAATGGTTATAGTCAGGAAAGTTTTTACAAGTGGTACTAAAAGTTGAAGGAAACAAAATGTTTTTAACTTATTCCTTCCAACAAAAACATGCTTTTAAATAAATTATGTGTGTTTAACTAACAGAGTTACTGACATTAAAGTAAAACTGAACTTCACAAAATTTCTTATATTATACGAAATATTTTGTAACTATGTTTTATATATTTCAGGCTTAAAGCCACCCTGTTTCTCTAAACGTGAAATAGTAGGTGATTTTTTCATTTATGACTTAACTCAAAATGCGCGATTACGAAAATGTTCATAATTTCTATGTCCATTTATTCTGATGCACCATGAATGTCCATTTGTTGAGACGCATCATGAACGTCCGTTCATTTAGAAGTATCATGAATGTCCGTTCATTTGGACGCAACATGAATGTGGATTTATTCAGACGCATCATGGACGTCTATTTTCTTAAACGCGCATATTGACCTTTGTCAACGATAAAAAGTTAATCGATAAGATGCAGCTTCGCTAGAATGTACAAATATTTATTACATTCCTTGAGTATGTTTAATTCTTTTTTTTTTTCGTTTATAGAATTTTTTTTATTGGGATTCGAAAATAATAATATTTTACGCAAATATTTCCAAACAAAATTATAATTTAATAATTTCTGGCGGATGTTGAGACGTTTAAACAATAGAACATACTTAGGCTAACTAAAATTCTTAGCTTGTCTTACCATTGAAAAACTATTTAAGTAGGCTTAGCATCTGTGTAAAATCAGCGTAGTAGTAAGAAACAATAATATTTGTTTATTCAGTACACAGTTTAGATATAATTATATTTACACGGCCAACAGCATTTAGAATGAGAGAGAATAGAAAAGGGTTAACCTTTTAATACTGCAAAAGTATTGGTCGAAAAAATGTTTGGCATCCCTCAGCACTTCATCCTTGGGTCTTGGCGTCCCCGCTGCTCTTTTGGATGGACAAGACATGATCGATCCCATACATTTTGTCGGACTACATGGCACAGTCTGTGAAAAAAAAGAAACAATATTTAATAGCAACAGCTTGTAACGAGAACATAATTAAATTGCGTTAAATTTGTAATTAATTGCATTAGAAATGACTCAGCCCACTGTTAGAGCAAGGTTCGATTCAACAGCATATTGTAAATTTAAGGCAATGTATTTGTATTTTATGACAGTCACTGTAAAATTAAATGGTTATAGTTTACAATCGGGGGTATATATATATTATATATATATATATAAATAAATTCCCCCTGTTCGCTACCGCTCACCCACCCCAATAATAGTTTCGCAATTATTGTCGTTTCTTTTCAGAACACAATTTTTCTATTAAAGTTAAAATTATTCACTCAACATATATATAGTAAAGGAAATTCTGTTTGCTTACACTTGTGCCTCTACTTCCAACATTCAAATATTATTATCTATTAGTATTAGAAATATTTAGGTCAATTTATAGGCAGAAGTAGTTTTTCTAAGTAATCATTTTTTAAGATAACAATTATTATAACAATATATAGTTAAAATAATATATCGTTCAATAAAATTTGATGAGTTGACCACCGTAAAGATTAACACATTTAAGATTTCCGCTTACCAAATGGGCAGATATATTAAATATAAATTTTGCTTGCATCTCATTGAACATGAAGCTGATCATTAAGTTATAAATCATTTAGCAGATCTCTTTAACAGTAACTTGTTGCAGAATATTAACGTTATTTGCACAACAATAATAATTGTAAGACGGTGAATAAGATTTGACGACTGTTTTAACTAATGTTATCTGAAAATGTAGAGCTGAATTACATTGTAATAATAATAAAAAATACAACTATTCTCTTAGTTTTAAACTCGAAAATTGAGTTAAAAACGTAATAATAGCTGTACAGGAAAATAAATTTAAATTAGGGATACAAAAATATTTATAGAAAAACAATATCTTTACGACTTATATTAGTTTTATGCTGATGACAATCGAAACAAAATGGAAATAAATGAGAAAAAACTGGATCCTACCACGTGATTTTCAGGGCAATGAAAATGCATGGACAACAACAATTACACCATCATTAAGCAGATCAAAACAAAATAAAAATTTCAACTAACTTTAGCTATATAGTAAGTTTAGTTGTAACAATTGAACAGACAAAATTATTACTTTTTCACACTCACGTCTTCTCAATTTTGATTGTCTGTTTTGTGTGTTACTAACCGCAAGTCTTCTGTGATTGGCTATGTGTTACCATTTTATTCACTTCTTATACTATATATATATATATATATCGGTTGATTGAGAATTGATGATTGAAAATCCATATCATAGAAAAATTATGGGGCGGATAGCTAATTGCGCGGAAGGATACTAAAAAGAGAATGATAGAAAAGGTTTTCTATTACATAATTAAACATATGGTGAATTTAAATTATATCCACTGAACAAGACTATTTTAATAAAATAACATTACTTTACTTAATTGAATATGTGCACATTTACTCTGTATATTACTTGCAACTCTTATTCACAGTCTGTTATTAAGAAAAATTATAATTACTTAGTTTCGGTCGACATGTAGGGCAACAATCACAATTGTGTATTTGAGGTGTTTCATTATCAGAGCAGTGTAGTGTTGGGCAGNATATATATATAGATAGATAGATAGATAGATAGATAGATAGATAGATAGGCTTCCCTATAACTTATACTATCCTATATACTATAAGGAGCCAATATCCATAGGCTCTTTATAGTCCCTAGCCGGGTGGTTTCACCCGTAGTAAATACTATTCGAAGTCACTGCAGGGGGTTACAAACTATTCATAACATACAAGGATAATATGCAAAACCTATTCAGCATTATTTAGCTTTTACTACTAGTACTACAGAAGAAGCACAGTTTTGGTTAGACTTCTGAAAGCAAGCATCATGATGCACCGCAGCAGGGTTATTTTACGGTCACATGTAGGACACCTTTTAATGCATTTTCCTAATTAAATGTGTCTTAATGCAGTTTTAATTTTTTTTTAAATTTGAAATTTTAAGTTATTTTCATTAAGTGGAAACGATTCTTTAATTAATTTGTATAATGATTGTGTTTTTGAAGAGTCTAAAAGAATTTTTTTTAATAACAATTCAAGCTTTTTCGGATAGCTTAAAACATGAAGTTTAGTTTTTTAATTTTGGAAATTTAGAAAATAAGCATGTTTCTCATTTGTTCCCAGATTTTTTATAATTATCGATAATATTATAAAGAATGTTGTGTTCTAAGAAATTAATAAAAATATTTGATCGACTATTTTAAGCGTTTTTATTTTAACAAAAAGGTATGACATTGGGTACCCCTCTCTCCCTACTCACAAACTGCCATTTCCCGCTCCAAAAATGACATTATTTGTGGATAACCCCTAAATTTTAGAAAAAATTCTTAGTTATGACATTTTTATGTAGTTTATTTCTAGCAGTCTAAACTAAAGTATGTATTATTAATTGAATGAATAAACGTTTCTTACATGCATAAATATCTCTATATACATTTTTTCACACACTTTTTAATATATATATATAAATACCGATATTGATTTTTTCTCAATTATTTTTGAATTAATTTAGATAAAATTAACTAGTTTAGAGATGGTTCATTTTTGTAGATATTGTTTGCTTATTCCAATTTCATCTTTAAATGAAGTAGGATCAGGTGGTGTAACAGTCTTTCGAGAGGGTGGTTTTATTAAGTCGTATTAATTATTATACTGCAATTCTGTTAGATAATTTCCCCCAAACATTAAAAAATATTTACTTTATCGCGTCTAAAGTAAATCAAGCGAGTGTACATTTTATTCCACGAAACAGAGTCATTTTTTGTTTTTGAATTATCTTTTTTTGATCTATAAAGATGATATTTCTTCGTGAGTTTAAATCTCGATTATTCGAAGCTTTTTCATTCAGGGGCTTCTTTCAACTGAAGTTTATTTTGAAATGTATTTATTTGTTTATATTTTTTTAGATGTACTTATTCTTTTTTTCTTAATTTCAATAACATAAATAAGTATAAAGTAAATATAGAATTGTTACCTTTGGTTTGCTAAATAAATTTGAAAGTTATAGTCTTCGTTGTTTTATATGTATTTTTTTTGTTTTAATTTATTTTTGTTTGGTCGTCGTTAAGAGCTATAAAGAAATTTAAAAGTTGTAGTTTTCATTGTTTTATCCGTATCTTTTGTCCTAATTTGGTCATTATTTTCACTTCCAATTTTTGTTATAAAGGATGTGTGTTGTGTCATTTATGCAAAAATAATAATAAATAAATAAATAAAAATAAATAAATAAAAAATTAAAAAAATAAGTAAATAAAATAAATAAATAAATATTAAATAAATATGAAAATAAATTATGAAATCGTAGTGTAAATGAAATAAGTCAAANGGACGTCTCTGAAGGAATGTGCAACGGAACACGATTGATTGTCACCGAACTTTGCAACAACATCATCAAGGCTAAGATCATCACCGGTGAACACGCAGGCCGACAAGTACACCTTCCAAGGATCACGCTCGACTCCAGCAAATCACAGCTTGGCGCAACTATGCAACGGCACCAATTCCCAGTTACTCCAGCATTCGCCATTACGATACACAAGTCACAAGGCCAAACATTCGAATTCGTCGGCGTGCTTCTCCTCACGACGGTCTTCGTGCACGGAATGCTCTACGTCGCGTTTTCAAGAGTCAAGCGTCAAAGTGCGTTGAAGGTCCTGCTGCCTCCTGAGAATCCAACCCACACCCGAAACATCGTATGGAAGGAAGTCCTGAACAAGAGAAACTCACCAGCCGCACCTGCCTCTCCGACAAGAAACTACCTGGACAACATGGAAGACTTCGCAATCGATGATTAATGTTTATTATGTTTATGCTGTTATAGGTTTATAATATGTTTCTTATGTATGTATACATGTTTGGTTTTTCTAAATAAATTTGTCAAAAATATTGAACTTCAACACACTTCAATATTTACACTGCTCACTTTGTACCATTTCTTTAATTGTATAATTTTTTGTTATCAATTACATTTTATTTCCTATGACTTTTCAAACTTTACCTTTGTATAGAATAGTTCCCTTTCCTTTGTTTAGATAGTTTACAATGGTGCACTTTAACCGGTTATCTTTTCACCAATGGTTTCACAAATTTTCTTATGGCATGTATTGTTTTGATAAATCACAATTGAAAATTTAAATCTTCGAGTTAGCTTTGATACCTGTTTTCTCCGAGCGGAGCTCGGTCACCCGCTGGTATATATATAAACTATTTGTCAAAGCGAAATTTATTCAAGGATCATATTAAAGTTAAATACAGAGTAGCACTAGTGCAATTATAAAAGTAACTCGACTTTCCGAGTATATTGATGAAATTAGATCAGAGGTTCCCAATTTCTTTGGTTGTGGTACCCTAATCGATCGACCTTCATTTGTCGGAACCCCGAAACTAAATGAATAAATTCTTTTAGCAATTGTGAACTTTAACAATTTTTTTAGCAACTGTGAATTAATTACCTGAAGACTATTAAGTGTTTTGAAAATATGTAATGATCTAAATTTTATCAATTATTTTGAAAATATCTATGTAATAATTTAAATTTTATTAATTATTTTGAAAATATCTATGTAATGTTTTAAATTATATTAATTATTTTGAAAATATCTATGTAATGATTTAAATTTTATTAATTATTTTGAAAATATTTAGTGAGTAAATAAAGAACGAATTTTTTTCATGGTATGACTGACAGACAGTTGAATTCACAAATCTGGAGCAGCATTTAGTCTTGTTCTGAATTTGATTTTAATGAACTGAAAATGAATTAGTTGCAATATGGTTTCCATTAAAATAAAAACGAAAAAAAAGTTAGAGTTGAGAATGGTTACAGAGAAACATACTTCTTCATGGCAGAATTAAATTCGATGCGGAAAAGAAACAAAAATATTAAATAAATAGTAGGTTTTTAT